ACGTGACACTACCTGTGCATCTGCATCATCAAAGTCCTCCTGATTTTCATCTTGACCTTCAAGCTCTACTGTGGCCTCCTCCTCATCGTCTTCTGTAGTGATAACCCTCTGGGGAGATTCTGTGACTACATCTTCAACAACATCTTCAAACTCAGCAAAATCATTATCATCATACTCCACAGCATCATCACTGTCTTCAAATTCATCAAATTTAGCCAAAGAACAGCCCCAGGAAATGATTAAAGCAGCAAGGAAAAGAAACACACTCCTCATTGTCACTGCAAAAACAAGCAAAAAAATCAACACATCTTTAGATTAAAAGATAGAATTGAATACAGGTCTCTTTAAGGTACTAATGCAGGGGTGGGCAAAATGCGGCCCGCGGGCTATTCTATCCATCCTGCAGGGCCCCTAAAAAATTTAGAACGTTAATATTTATCTGCACCTGGGTGCCTGTCATGCAGCCCTCAATGCCTTCCCAAAACTCAGTAAGCAGCCCGCTGCCTGAAATAATTGCCCGCCTCTATACTAATGCATTAAAGAGCTACTTGATTACAGAAATGCAGAGGACTGACAGAATTGGTCATAGTTCAATTATTAAACCCAGGATCACTAGACAAGAAATAAGGGGAAGGAAGGGAGACTGTGAACTTATGTCTAACGTTTAGCACAACAAACCAGGAGTGAGAACTCCTGGTTCTTATCCAGTACTGTGACCAAGATTTTAAAGATACTAATTCTAGAATGGGCAAATCGACGCATATAGCAGGTCCCTAGCATTTTGCTTACCTCACAGAGACTTGCTTATAGAATTATTTGTAAACCTTGCTTTAAGCATGATATAGCAGGGGTCGGCAATGTTTTCTACAGGTGGGCCAGAATGACCTACCCACGGTCCAAAGTGGACCAGCACTGGGACCAGGCCACCTGTTCTCTCTGGTGTCTCATATCCATGGCATACATGAAGCTCCCCAATGCCAAAGCCCCTGCTCTAGGAGCTGTAGCTTGCCCACCCCTGCACCCGAGTAACTGAAAAGTTTCAAGTTAAGAGACTTCAACCCCCACCCCAAAAATCATTCTTTAACTTGCATTCCTCTCTCCCACTAAGAAAAAGTTTTTGATATTTTTGTTCTTGCTTGTGTAAAAAGAGTAATTCTTTCTCCATTAATTTTTTTCTAAAATGCCATAAACCTTCATGTTTGTTCTCAGGTTCTTTGAGGTGTGGGACAATTAATATTCTCTAATATAACTTTAATGTATTATGGGAACCTGAAAAGCACCAAAACTCCATTTTAACAATTTAGAAATTTGATTTTTATGGCATGCAGCAGACCCACTCCTTTTCAGTACGGAAGTACAGATTGCAGAGATTGCCCAAGCAACTAAAACAAATAACAGTGATTATGACACAGCACTCTGAAAATGGTGGACTCTACAGACCATGGTCTGGCTATATACAAAGGCTTGACTAAAAGATCAAGCACACTTGTGTACCTAAAGAACCCAGAAGTAAATCAGCTCTTATCAAGTGTTTGCTTAACACCTATAACATGAACTCCCCCTCATTTTGGTACAGCAAATTGTTGATGTACAGGCAGTCCTTGGACTTACGACACAATTGGTTCCTGAAAACCGTTTTTAGGTCGAAACATTGCAACTCGGAAGCAATTTTCTCATAAGAAACAATGTTATAAATGGGGGATTGGCTCCTGAACCGAGGCCCAACACCCTATTTTCACCAAAAATACCCCAGAATTTTGTACTTGGATCAATTATAGATGAGTAATATAGTGACATTAATGTATTCATATTGTAAATAGCAATCATATTGATTGGAAAGGACTTCTTTGAGGTGTCTTTGCTGGACTTCTTGAAGGACTCTTGGTTGGACTTTTTGAAGGGTTCTTGGCTGGAGTCTTCTCAGGAGTCTTGACTGCAGGTTTTTCAGGAGTCTTGGCTGCTTTCTTAAAGAAAGTGTCCAAGGAAGTTTGGACAGGTTCTCCAGGGAGATGAGCAACACAGCAAACTTGTTCGCTGGCGTGGCATCGCATCAGATCAAGCGATGTAAAGTCGAAACTGACATCATAAAGTTGAAACCGGGTGTCAATTTATAAACGTTGTAAGTGCAAAACACTGCAACTCGAAACGTTGGAAGTTGAGGACTGCCTGTACATAGCTTGGCAAAGCAAAGCAACTGCACAACACAATGACTAGCCAACTGGGACACACAGTTTGACTTTAAACTGATTTATTTCCCAAGAATGAAGATTTATACTGGAAAAAAAAAAAAATACAACTTTCCATCACCAGACCCCTGGATCTTAAAAAACAAACAAACCCATGGACACACACAAGGAAATGTTTAAACACCAAAACTAACTTTTAAATCAGATTACTGATTAGATTATTGAACTCAGAGACAGGATATTTGCTAAAATTTATACCTATCACATTGTCTTTGGGAACATATTCATAATTATGGGTAAAATGGTATTTTATCTACTGCCATAAAGAGATGAATAAGTTGATTAACTCTGTAAAGCTGTATAAAATAGATGCTCTCTAAAACCACTATTCAAAAGGTGACCAACCATTTCAATATTTGTCCAAGAATACAGACTGTGGCTTTTCCAGATACTGCTCATCTGCAAATCAAACAGTGTGAGAACAGTAAATGGAAAAAATGGGGCTACAGTAGCACCAGCTGTAATCCTCATTATAAAAGACAACCCGCATCTATCAGTTGGAAACAGCAAGTTGCAATTGCACCCTCTGCCTCCAAGTCTGGTCGTTCTAACATGCAGCCTTGCGTGTTCAGGACTAGGTCCTTCTGAACGGCTCCAGCACTTATCCCGAAGCCTCCTGTTACGTGCCTTACTGGGAATAGGACAATGATACACTGCGCTGCAGAGCAGGGATGGGCAATTATTTCGGGCAGAGGGGCACTTACTGAGTTTTGGCAAGCCATCAAGGGCCACATGACAGGCAGCCAGGGGCAGATAAATATTAATTTTCTTAATTTTTTAGGGGCCCCGCAGCCGGATAGAATGGCCTGGCGGGCCGCATCTGGCCCACAGGCTGCATTTTGCTGATCCTTGCTGTAGAGTGATCTAGTAACTAACATAACAGATTTGGGATACTCAATGTCTACTGCCACCTCTGCCACTAGCTTGCAATGATACTTTGGCAACACAGTTCATTTAGCTCCACACTTTATGTTTATATAGCGCTACTCCTAACAGGATCTGAGACCTCCAAGAGGCAGCGACACTGTACATGGGTCATTTGCAACCCTTCACAGATGTTTATGGAGGAACATAAACATCTGTGAGGCAACCCCCAACCTGCTTAAGGATCATTTAAACAGCTCTTGTTATTGAAAGAAAAAAGAGGAGCAATGGGTTTGTCACCAGCTACGTGCACTATACCTGCCTGCGAGCACAACCTGAAGTCCTTCACAGCTGGATTAAGCTCGTTCTTTAAACCCCTTCCCAGGCGAGGCCCAGCAGAGGCGGCGCGCACGCAGGCTCGCTGACCCGTCCCGTCCCGTCCCGCCCCGCCGGGCCCCTGGTCTTGCTCCCAGCTGGCCCGGGAGAAGGGGCGGCCACGGGAACCCCGACTCCGAGTCGGGCGAGGCCTGGACCGCTGGGAGGCCTCAGGCTGCGCCTGTTGGTGCCAGGCAGGGCCCGGCCCGCTGCACTCCTTACACGGCCGCGCTCGGGGGACACCGCCTAAAATTAGCCGCCCCGCCCCCACCCGAGCGGTGTGCGTGTGTAGGGAGGCAGCAGGGCCCGGGCCGGGCACCCCACCCCCGCCC